AACTGTATGCCGATGACACTAAAATTTATAGAGAAATAAAAGATCCTGTCTTGGACACGCATATTTTGCAAAACGACTTAAACAGTCTCGATGAATGGGCACACACATGGCAATTAAAATTTAACGTGGAAAAGTGCGAAACTATGCGGTTAACCCACTCCAATGATATGCTAAAATCAAGTTATACTTTAGGAACATCAATCTTGAGAGATACAGAAAGCTTTAAAGATCTTGGAGTCACTGTTTCGCGTGACCTAACATGGAGTAAACATGTTTGTATCACAGTTAATAAAGCAAACAAAATTCTAGGAACTATTAAACGATCAGTTGGTACAGCAAACACGAAGGTTTTCTCGATGTTATATATTGCTCTTGTTAGACCCATCCTTGAATATGCTGCACCTGTTTGGAACCCATATCTTGTTAAGGACATTCATGCAATTGAAAAAGTACAAAGACGAGCATCCAGGCTTGCTTTGCGTCAAAAGAGAGGTGAGATGTCGTACGAAGAAAGATGCCAGATCCTGGGGTGGACAACACTCTCCTTACGGAGGGATTATTTATCATTACTTGAATGTTACAAAATTGTCTTTGGGCTATGCAAGCTAAATTTCTTGGACTTTTTCGAATGGTCTAGAGTAAAGTCAACTAGAGCAAATCACGCGTATAAACTATGTGTTAAGGCAAGTAGAGTGAACTGTTACAAATACTCCTTTTTGTAAGGACTATCGGCTTGTGGAACGCTTTGCCAAAATACGTTTTAGAGGCTAATAACTTTTCAGCGTTCAAAAAAGCCCTGAAGGACTATTTAAGGATCTAATTTATTCATATATTTGTAATTGTAATTTTAATTAGTAATTTTTAACAATTATTTTATTTAAGGAAGTTTAATATAGGGATAACCTCAAACTTTCCTTTTCCTCTGTCACTGTAATTGCATGCTTCAGTTTCATTGTGAATAAACCTTTATTGTATTGTATTGTATTGTATCTCTTTCATCATCCGTGATGTCGTCATAATTTGAGGCGATATATATATATATATATATACATATATATATATATATATATATATATATATATATATATATATATATATATATATATATATATATATATATATATATATATATATATATATATATATATATATATATATATATATATATATGCTTCAGCAGAAGCATGAAACTCGGAGTAGCGATTAAATGTTTTTAAACTAAGAAGTCTCTCTTAACTCTACATAGCTCTAGTATACCTATTGAGCGCTTTCAATACACGTTGACGAGGTCTACACACCACAACCTGTTATATATATATATATATATCAAGATTGTTCAACTTCAAAACTTTGCTCAAGAAAAATTGGGTACCAGATAAGTGTTGCGACGATGTAATATAAGATAAAATATATATTTGTCGGTGTTTAGTCACCAAGACAATATCATGTGAATTGCACTTCAAAAGTTTCAATTTAGTTCAGCTGGCGCTAGGCCACGGAACACATCACTTAAGAAATATTATATTCCTTAATTGCCGAATTTCTTAATCTTCTGACTAACACCCTAACAATGAATATCTTTTACAATAAGTATACAGACAAGCCTTCACAACGCAAGCATAAGCACTTGGAAGGAAACTTCTGTATACTAGAACAATAGTAACTCTCAAGTTGTGAATAGGTGATTTCAGCTAGAGACTCAATTTTGATCAAGGCAAGAAGAACGAAATCCAACACCACAGCTAGAAAGAGCGTCTTACAATGCAAAAAAAAAACCTGCAAAGATTGGTTGCTAAATGTTGTAAATGAAGAAAATATAGCCCAAGTTCGCAAATCTTGTATATATTTGTATTACGCGCGGTAAAAATAACCACAGGCTCAAAAAAATAGTGCCTTAATGCACCTCACTTTATTATTTTACTCTGTCTAACACCAGACGATTTCCCTTGTCAAGAGGAGAGCACTGACGCTCAATGGTCAATCCGACTGTCTATTCGTATATATAGCTATAGTTAACCCATTGAGTTGTACTGTGTCCCAATCTCCACTATACTTTATTGTGCGACTCTGTCCCAATGCCAATTCGCTTGATGATTCCATCACCCATGCTACATCACTCCAATCTTTCCAGAAAAAGTTAAAATATTCCATGTTTAATGAAATGATTGAATAATCATGAGTTATATGCTTTATCAAAAAGAATATAATAACATTATATTGTTTTCCTTTCTCTCACACAAACAACAAATTAATAGCTACTTAATATCCCTATACTCTGCTGGATAAGGTGATTGGTAATTTAACAAACACTCTCGAGTTTCTACGTCAATCTCCTGCCATATCTTTATAACATATACCAATAAATTCAAGCTTTATTATAATTGTGTATTTAACACTTGTAAATATTTTAAAAGTATGGTGAAATATATTTTTGATTTGATTTGACTTATGTGTATGTAGTTAACCCATTGAGTTGCATTGTGTGCAAATGTGCACTACTTTATTGTGCGACTCTGTCCCAATGCCAGACAATTTTACTTGTCGAGAGGAGAGCACCAGTTGGCACTCAATGGTTAATCAGACTACTGTATCTAACCATATGTGTTATGTGTATGTAGTTAACCCATTGAGTTGCATTCTGTCCAAATGTGCACTACTTTATTGTGACTCTGTGTCAAGAGGAGAGCACTGGTGCTCAGTGGGTTAACAATCAATCAATAATTTATTAATTATTCACTATAAATCTATAATACAATAAATATACAATTAATCCGCAAATAGCAAAATTAATGCTAATCGAGGCAGATAGTGTAAAAAAATTATGAATTACTAGAATACAGTCCAAAGAAGAATACAAATCATATTTCCAGTACACAACATGCAAGTTTAAGAAGCATGCCATGTACTAGAATATTGCATGTACCAATATTTCTGAATATTGCAAAACTTATTTCATACAAGCCTTGTACTAGAAAAATTAGATAACATAATATACAATAACATTGAACTCTCTCACTTGTTAGGTCCCACATTTAGTGATGTTTTGAGTTCATGGCAACTAAATAATTTATTTTGAGATTTGGATTGAAGAAAATCTAATTTCAAACCCCGTGAAGTATTAGTCCATAGGGGAATGTCAGGTTTGCCAAAGGTGGGGTAAACACAAATATGTCTACACAAAGGCACTATCACTCATAAATCTATTTCATATACATGTGAGAAAACAAACTATAACATGAAAATTATTTTATATAATAACTAAAGTGAAACACGCAATTTGATTGGTCAATAGCCATGCAGGATCAGGCTATCCTGCACGAGGAATTAAAATACCTTCAGAGCAAACCTTTGGAATTTTATTCCAAAAGAAATTAGGGAAAGCAAATCACTTTCTTCTTTTCGAAATAAAATCGCTGCTCACATTTATGAGTAATAATTATTGTAAAGATGTACCTGTAAATTGTCTGCCATCTTTCTCATTAGACATTAATATGTTAACATTTTAATACTCATTAATATGTATCTATATCTTTTAAAAGATATAGTATTTTTATTAAATAGCACATGTAAAAATTTATTTATTTTTTGGCACATGCCCCTCGTGGAAATCAGCTTCGGTTGACAGGGTCAGCATACATAAATAAAATTTCTATCTATTTGCCATTAACATTCTGAAATGTCAATGTACGGTATAATCCAATTAGCTGGAAACAAAAATTAGGTTTGGACAAAAATTTGGTGACTTTTCGGGGAAAATACAGAAATATGGATATTATAATGGGCACTTAAAATCATGCGAATATCAGGCCTCTTGCCTCCAAGGCCAGATTTTGGTGGAAATACAGTACTGGGGGAGGTGGGGAAAAAATTTAGGGGAGGTGCAGCGGTCTAGCTTACGACCCCCATGGAAAGTTAGGGCTTACTGTAGAACAGGCCAAAGTCAACAATGTGACATATGCATGTAGTGTACATATGTATTAGTGTATTAATGTACTATGACTGTATGACTCCAATCTTGCACTTCATTACAATTGCTACAAAGTTTCTTTCAAAACATTGCATTAAAAGGGTATTTGACACAGAGATGAATGACTATCACTGTTTCAATTTTACAGAAAAAACTTCTTACGAAGTGTAGACCCTAAGCAATCATCAAATTTTCACTTTGATCTATCAAATGAATGAAACTTTCCCAAGGCGAGGTGCAAAAATCCTCAGGGGAGGTGCAAAACGATCTCAGGGGAGGTGCGCTCCTCCCCACACCTCCCTTCAAAATCCGGTCTTGCTTGCCTCTCAAGAAGATCGACCCCCAATTTGAGAGGGAGCAAAACATTAAGCTGTGTATTGACATGCTAGGGATGGGGTTCCAGTGCCATAATTGCCACATCTTGGCTTCTCTAGAATCAAAATACAGCACTGTTTCTGGATCCCAACTAAAACTTGTGACGGGAAATGCAAAATCTCGCAGCAGCCTTGCTGAAAATCACTTGCTTCACTACAATGTAAATTACAACCTCACCCAGGCTGGGGAATAGAAAACATCTGTCCTCTATAGAGTGGGGAAGCCCAATGTTCAGTAGATACATCATTCTATAGCAGTTTAATGCATGGTTCAATTCTTCCTGTTACCACCCCCCCGGATTTGTGTGCCGAAAATTCCCGGGGGGTGGGGGGGTGAATTTCATTGATCGTTTGGTCCCGCGGGTAGGGGGTAGAGAATATTTATAATTATGGCATATATTATATTTTGCCCGCATGCAATGGGTTGGACTTAGCCTGTGAACCCGCGAGAAGCTGTTCTCCTCAAGAACTATCAAAGATGGCGGCGGAATATTTTACTGGAAACAATTTCGAGTATGTCTGCAACTGGTTAAAGGGAAAAATCTTGCTAAAACCACCAGTTGCAATCTCTGCCGTTTATACTGTTCCTTTTAATAATGATCCTAGGAAAGCAACGTTTTTGATAGAACAAACATTACGCAAAGGTTAGCATACCTCAATTAATTTTTCTGACGAAGAAACCAGAGGTTCTTTAATTCTATTACTTTCCTATACAAAAGTTATAACGAAAAACACCACCAAAGTTTAGTATTCATCAGCTAACTTTTGGGCGATATCCTTTTGTCAAAACTTCACTTTCCTATAAGCTCACTATTTAGTATACTGATCATGAAAATAAACCGAACGCAATAGCCAATATTGTCCCCGGGGTGGGGAATTGTCTTTTTTATTTGCCCGGGGGTGGGGAATTTACACTTTTGAAATAAAAAATCTGCAAATTCCTGGCGGTGGCCGGGGGGGATGGTTATAGGAAGAATTGAACCATGCATAACCAGGGATACAGGTATTGTAGTCATAAAAGACACTAAAGGATGGAAACAAAAAATGGATAGGAGCCTATCATCCAAATCATGTAAATTATGTCGATAATTCTTGGCCTAAAAATAACTAGATTAACCTATTGAGGTGCAGCTTGATGAGTAAAATCATCTGGTGTTAGACAGAGTAAAATAATAAACTATAAAGTAGGGTACATCATTGCCACTTAAAGGCGGACGCATTGCCAGTTAAAGGGTTTAAATACTTAATTAAAACCACTTTGATACCGGAAATGGCATTTCTCCGAATATAAGACCACCTGAATATAAGCCCACCTGAATATAAGCCCTGGCCTTGTGTATAAGCCCTTGGGCTTATTATTATACAGGTATTTATTAACGCAGTGATGGGGATTCCAACAGCTCAGAAGAGTGACAATAATTACATTACAGTACCACAATATGTTAATTAACCAACTTGTTTTAAATATGCGGTACAGTCCGATCTGCGCATGTGCACAAAGGAGCCCTCTTGTTATTTACTAACAGTTTATTTAGGTTTTTATTTCATTTTATGTTCTTGCAAAGCTTGATTGTTGTGTCTTCATAATTTGTTATACTCTAGAATCATGAAAATATAAATAGTTGTCGAATAAAATTCAATATTTTGGATACCGAAATGTAAACAAAGCCTTTGTTTACATACGGATAGTACCACATCTTTAAGTATAGACTATATATAATACACTGTATGTTTATATTTCTTTTTGTTCACAGTATACTGTAGTTTACAGCTGCAATAAATATTATTACTAACACCAAATGTTGTCCATGTATAAGCCCACCCATGTATAAGCCCATCAAAAAATACTTATAAACAACTATAAGCCCAGGGCTTATATTAGGAAGTTTAGGGTATTTCTACCAGACTCCACATCTGTAGTGTTAGAGGAAAGCTGTTCTCAGCAAGAGTGTTGGAGTTACTATCTTGCCTGACAACGGCACATACTAAACATTCAAGTTCACCATTTTGATCAAGGTACTTCATCAGTATCGTAATTGTTAAAATTGTGAACACGGGCTCTTCAAAGGAAGAATTATGGAGGTCCCGTCTACACAATATGACTAGTCGTGGCATAAGTACTCAAAAAAATTTGTGTAAAGATGACACATTTCAAATTTCGTGGTAAACTGATCACCAGAAATAGTGGCGTCAGAAGTCGTAAACTTCCATACGCCAGAATGACAATCGTATACAACTAGTCGTATCTTGTGAGTGGGGCTAATAGAGTGAGTCGACTCCACTGATGATGGGTGTAATTGCTCTAAATTTCAAAGAGAGATTTTCAGGCTGAAGGTTATCATTGTCCATGAAATAATGGTTTCTCATATCTACCCCATGGCCCACACTAAAGCCCCATTTTGTAATATATTTGGCTTGGAGATGGGCCAATTTCGGCCAAATACCACAGTTAAATTTTTACAGAAATATTACCCAGCTGAATCATGTGTCTGTAAGCTAAATATTTCACTAAAGATATATAAAATTTTCTACATTTTTTATGATAAAGTAGGGAAAATATACTGCGTCACACAAAACATATTAATCAAACAAAAAATTAACACAAGTCGTATTAAATAGGTGAAACATCACGGAATAGATATGAATTCCTCGCAAGTGAACTCGTGCTACAATTTTAAACAAAAAGCGATGAATTCTGATACCATATTTCACGAGAAATATAAAGAAAATATTCAAAATATACGAACAACGTAATGCATGAATTGAGGTTATATTACGTTGTTCCAGTGTTCCACACAATTTCATAATAATTTTCCTTGTCCAAAGAAAGTCTTTTCTCCTAAATACTTCGATACAGTATTAGCGAAAAACTCTACTACAATACCTTACTCTTTCGTTGGATAAACTGCCGTTTAAGTCTCTTTCCCAATATTGAAACAGCGAACTATATCTTCTAAACAACAAAAGGATGCAAAGATATTAATTTTTTGGCTTCTAATAAGAATACAATTGGGTGCTCAGCCTCGTACGAAGGAAAGCTGGCTAGAAACACGAGTTTTGTCTTACCTGAGTAGCTTTTTCAGCCAGTGTTTTGCCAGCGAATACAAGAAGGTTGATGATGATGATAAAAGAGAGGCAACAAACCGACAAGACAAAGCTATCGCGTCTATTTAAGCCCAACAAAACAATTAATGCTTCCCTGGCTCGAGTACTGGCTGAGACTTTCTCACCTTTCAAATTGTTGTGTCACAGTGATTCTGGGGGTTTCATGGGATCACAATGGGAATTAATAATTAGCCAGGGAAGGCCGCTGGATAAACTGCGCGCGGACGTTAACACTGATCTCAGGCTATACTGAATGTATGTACAGTGAAAGATGCCCACCTGAAAATACAATACTATGAGAAATTCAACGTTTCGAGCGATCGCGAAGGCCCTTGTATGGGAAAGTTAGTAGCGGGGTCGGGAAAATTACATGCACTTGAACTTACACTTTGAAACTCTGTTTGGACTAAATTAATCAGATTGGTTTATTTTTTGTCACGTGATCACTCTTATATTTACTAGTATAAAAAACAAAAGTTTGTCTTGCTTTTCCCTGTCAATTAAATCAAACTTTATACTGAATGCGTAATTAGGACGTGCATAATATATGCACCAGCCATTCAAATTCTAATAACAATAGATTACTTCAATATTTTGCGCGTAGGCGGAGGTATGCAGTCTCTGAGTGCCCTCTAGTTACACATGCGTTTGTTTGCATACTTTCCAAACTGTAGGCGACATAACACATCTTATTATACATCACAAACTTTTCATGCGTCTTGTTTGTATTACGTCAGTTGTATTACAGTTGTAAACCCTGGCTATACGCTACTGACGTCATTCACTTCCTATCTAACATACTGTTAGGGGCCGACCATTTAACTTTTGAGAGGGGGGGGGGGTGATTTTGAAAAAAAATTTCCTGCAAGGCTATTCTGGACAAAAAAAAATACCTGCACTAACAAACTGGGGAAAAAAATATCCTGCCCCAGTATTTGGTGGGAAAAAAAATGTTGCAAAACAGCATGGTTGCAGGGATCGATTTGACCAGTCCGAGAAGATCAGCTGGTTTGATTTTCAGGGACTAGTGTAAGGTTAATTTCTTGTTGGAAAACTCCTCAAAATGCTGGAAATAGCTTATCTGAGCTTCAAAAAATCCAAAATTTTCTGGGGGGGGGCATGCCCCCAGACCCCTCTAGAGGCTCGCACCTTCGGTGGTCGACTCAGTTGTTGCTGCCCTATGACATATACTTATTAGTTAAACCATGCATATATATGCTGTAGGTAGCTGCAGTGATACAGACAGGGCTGTAGCAAGGCGGGTATTGGGGGTGGTTAACCCCCACCCCCCCAACTTTTTTAGAATCAACACATTCAGAAAATCGGGTTGGCCATTCGGAAAATTACGGCAATTATTTAATAGTAGAACAAAATTTTAGTTGTTAAACAGAGAAAATATTATAAAATTGTATTGTCACTATAAATTGTAAGCAAATTGTAAATTTCGTCATACTAAAACGCTTTTTTCTGACCATCAGCATTCTGTCAAAACTTCCCCAAAGTCCAGGAAATGGCATTTCAGAGACTCGAAATTTAAAAATTTCCTCGGGCCTCCGGCCCTTGTTTTCTGCCCCCAATAAACAAAAGCTCCCTACCGCACTGCTTCTGTAATATGTCTGTGCGTAAGTTATGCATATTTTTGTTAATTGTAAATTGCGTATTCATTTGCCGAGTAGCAAACACCTTCATGGCTAATAGTATGCCATGATATATTCGGAAATTATTTTCGTCATTCGGAAATTTTTGGCCTACACCCCCCCCCCCCAACTATACATGCTAGCTACGGCCCTGGATACAGACTTGCCGACTGGAACTTCTCCAGGTCCCCCGCTAATTATGTCCTCTCCAGTTGCACATCCTTAAAAAAGGCACTGAACCAAATGTTATACCTCATAGCAATATGTATTATTAAGAGCAATGCATGAAGCGGAAAACTCAACGTTAACTATAATTAAAGAATCTAAATAGTATAAGCTATTGAAAAAAAAATGCTGCGAAAGAAAGTGTGGCAAAAAAACTCGTACATGGTGAAAATAAATAAAAATCTTGCACATAACGATCCCAGAAAAAAATTCCCTGCAGCAGTAAATTCCCCCCCCCCCCCCTCAAAAGTTAAATGAACGGCCCCTAATCGGGTCCAGTCCATGTTTTACTAATGAATCCAGTCCATGTTTTACTACATGCATAGGCGTACCGGGCGGGGGGGGGGGGGGGCAGCCCCCCAAGTTTTTTGAGCAGTCGGGCAATATTCGATCAACAGTCGGGCAATTTTGGTTTGTAATAAAAATAAATGGCACTAACTATGTCAATTTAGTCGGAAATTAAGTCAATTTTGTGGTAAATTTAGTGTTGTTTGGAAAATTTGTGTGATGTTCTGAAAAATTTTTGTATGGATTAGGATTGTTTTACTAATCGAGTCCATGTTTTACTAATCCAGTCCATGTTTTACTAATCGAGTCCATGTTTTACTAATCGAGTCCATGTTTTACTAATCGAGTCCATGTTTTACTAATAGAGTCCATGTTTTACTAATAGAGTCCATGTTTTACTAATCGAGTCCATGTTTTACTAATAGAGTCCATGTTTTACTAATAGAGTCCATGTTTTACTAATAGAGTCCATGTTTTACTAATAGAGTCCATGTTTTACTAATCGGGTCCAGTCCATGTTTTACTAATGAGTCCAGTCCATGTTTTACTAATGAGTCCAGTCCATGTTTTACTACATGCCGTAAAGTTGCACATTTGCACAGACATTTGTCAAGCGAATTCGCAGATGACAGCTGAACAGCTGAATTTCAAATGACAATAAATATAAATATATATTTTCAATAAAACACATAAAAGAACAAACAGTTTCCCCAAATGCGGATAACTGCACAGTCGGACATGTACATGTACAATGAAATATATACTTATGTATACTTAATATTCTCGTGAAAAGAGTTCAAACGAAGCAAAAAAAATTATTTAGCTCTTCCTCCAAATGAAGCCAAATCACAAAAATATCATCCAGAAAACGCCACCATATACCCACGCTTTTATTAATTAACTCACATCTCCAAAAATTTGAGGCTATATACATGTACAAGCCGATCACATGAAATCTATAGTACACAAGATTGCAGTAGATGGAATATGTCCCAAATTCTCTAATTTTTGAAGAAAATCCGAAGTATCTTTAATAATAACAGATGATAGGCTACATTACACACTATAAAGATTGCATATGAAAATCCAAAAACTTCGATATTCTTTCAGTGAGCGTACCGCAGTTAGAAATATCCGACCGTCCTGATATATGTCATATATACATTCTCCAAACGCTTATGAATTTTTGGCAACAAATAAAATTTTCCCAATCGGGGTTTGGGAACTACTAGATACTTCCTATATTAACCGAAGATATATATCCTTTATGCACTAAAGGACCAACGCTTTTTCTATACTAAAGAATTAACCGTGTATCTATAAAAGGATCTGACTCAGTAACCTCATATATATACCTGCTGATCGTTAAGGTGATTATAAGCTTCATCGTAGTAATCCTTCCTCCCCCACACAACTACAGCACCACCCTTATCTGCTTCCTTATAATTACAATATCCCGATATTTCTTTAAATTTTTGAGTGCTTCTTAGCTTGCTCCTTTGAGGAAAGATTACTAAAATTATTACCCCGTTCGTTAATGGCCAAAACCCATTCCTCGAATTTACTAAGATAAAAGCTCTATTGCTGGATTTACTTCAGTAGGACCCACGCTGATTTTTCCCTAAATTGTCTTGCCCCTCCTGTTCAATACCGATTTTGGAATGAAAATATGCTTTATATTTTAGCTTTTTACCAAATTCCTTAATATTTCTCTTAACAGATGAAAAATCTAATTTTATATATATAGCCTATATATATATATATTCAATATTCAATTTGTCCGTAGTGAACTAGAGTGCTCAACACCAACAAATCAGTAGAGCAAATACAAAAAAAAACCCAACAAATTATAATCTTAAAATTTTATTTCATCGCTACACAGTGTTTCACGTACAGCCGTATATATGTTAGCAAGGCCTTTTTTAACATACAAGCTGGGAGGGCAAATGCCCCCCCAGTCCCCCCTTGTGCCCCCCCACGAAATCACATTTTGCCCCCCCAGGAAAAGTCCCTTTTCCCTAAAATTATAGAAACAAACCAGCGAAGATTAACAAATACATAAACGGAAAGTAAGTTTTAGGCTTTATCCTTGTTTAACAAAATCGATTTAAATTGTTACTTTTTTCTACCACTAAGTAATCAATGATAAATTATTGTTAATAATTTTTTTTATTTTTAGATGCTTAGAATGCAGGAAATAGCATTTCCGGGTTTCAAATTTCAAAAATGTTCTGGGGATTATCCCTCTAATAAGTAATGATAAATGATGGTTAATTTTTTTTTACTTTTTGTGCGTTTTTTCCTTTATTCATTTCCAATACAAGTATAGTTAGCATAAATTTTGGAGCAAATTTGGATGCTCAGAATGCAGGAAATGACATTTCCGGGATTCAAATTTCAAAAATTTTCTGGGGGAGTACTCCCCCAGACCACCACCCCCATTCATGCGTGGTATATTGGCGAACCACGTAGCCTTCAGCCATTGCTATCCCCCTCTAATATATTATCTCACAGAAAAGTCCCTTTTCAAAAAATGCCCCCCCCCAGGAAAATCCTTAAAAAAGGCCCTGTATGTTAGTCATCGCGACATGGCATTTTATAATTTTTATATATGTTAATCACCGTGGGTAAGTGTTTTTTTTAGTGAACAGGAAAAGTTAGGACTGAGTCGGATTCGAACTGGCGACCTCTGGGTTACAAGCCCATCACTCTATACCAACTGAGCTATCAGCCAGATGGTATATGCATGTAATTATTATACTGCTGCAGCTGGCGCATTCATCCATTCCATTACATGTAATTGTCCGATTTCATCCCTTCCATTACATGTAACTGTCTTAAATTTTTTTTTGAGAAAATGTTCTCCACGATGACAGCTAAGGTTACAGACTCATGCATGTCTAGCTGCTTATGAATGCTGAACCCTACTATAGTCCTTATACCCTGACTCTAAGTCTAACCCTAACCGCATCTTCGCCTTTGGCTTCACTTTTGGGACCAGGGGCTGGTTGTATAAAAAAGTGATTAAAGTTAACTATAGTTAGTGGAAACGTCATCCAATAAGAAGCGCGTATTTGAGAGTTAATCACTATTTAACTACAAAATAGTGATTAAAAAAGTGATTAAGAGTTTTATACAACCGGCCCCAGAGTTCTTACTCCAGATATATTTAGAGCTCATTGCGTAGCAAATACGATAAATATTATAAATAAATTAAACATATATTAACAATATTTTCTGTGTAACAATTCTTGAAATTATATATATACAAACATTAAATGCACAATTTACAAAAGTGAACAGCTTACAAACATGATAAGTGCAAGATTATAATATCGTTTTCAGTTTATCATCTTTTAGTAAGTTATTCATGTCCTGCAATCGTTGTCTCACCGCCCGTCCCAGGCGGTCATTGCAAGTTTTGACATAAGTCGACAGTTCCTTTTCACGTTCGTTTCTATAAAATAAACAAATGCGAATAACTAGATCAGTTTGAATTACTCGGTACATATACTCAATCCTGGTTTAAAAGGATTGTCTTTCTCCAAATATTTAGATGGAGTCCTTTAATTGGGAAAACGTTTGTTGGTTTGTTTGTCTGTATTTTTATCTGTTTTTTTTCCCATGGAAGATCTTATAGGTTTTTCGAAACTAGTTGGAACATGCAAGCGCTGTTCTATCGCGCATTCACTGCATGTTTACTATAAAGTGTCAATGATTACTCCAAATGAGTTAACAAAATTTTAATATTACAGTAATATTTTAATATTAACCTTGATATTAATCCCCTTGATGACATGGGATTATTATTCGAAGGTAATTTTCCATTTCGTGGAAATGTTTCATCACTAGATAACAGAAATTTAATTTATTTAAAATTCATGTTAGTTTTTCATTCGTGATATTTTTACAACCAGCTAAAAACCTGTATTCAAATACTTATATATGATCACTGCTACACTTTTACAAAGAAAAACGTTCCCTCAGAAGCGCAAAATTGGGGAAATATTTTTAAAAATTCTTTCAAAAATCTCCAATTTCGTAGCACACACCAACCCATATTTATTTTTCAATTTAGGAATAACACTTCGTCTTGAACTAGGTAAAGCTCACACATTCAGTCCACCTATTTTCCGGCAGCAAACGGAAATTGAAAAATCAATTTTGTGTTTGCCAGTGGTTATTATTTACTAATAGCTGTGCAGCAATATATCAAAGATATTTAAAACAACCAGTGAATTTCTTTTTATTCAATATATCAATATTTCAGGTTTCAAAAAATCCAATCCACTAGTTAATAGCATGCATGTTCAAATTATTGTTTTGACAAAAAAAAGCCGTTGATCGAACTGCTGCAGAATTGTAAAATATTGACGGCGTCTCTTTTTTCTATACGTTGATTCTTAACTTGTTTATGAGAGTTAGTTGTTTATTTTCGCAAACTTATTTAGAATTAGGCCTAAAACGTCAGCGGTGTGTACACAAAATTAGCATATACTCGGGAGGTCGATAGTGCTTTTCACGTAATTTGACTGGTTGCTCTGCAGCTCCGGATATCCGGACAAAAACAAACTGGCTTCCCGTTTCGTTCCGGTTACAGACGAGCGAATTGTTTGTACTAAACGAAGCTGCGGTTTCGCCAAACACGAAGAAAGCCACAAAGTTTTGTTTGACAGTGTGTAGAGGTATTCTTTAAAGTTATAATTTCTAATGAATAATATTACTAAAAGCTTGCAAATACTGTTTTGTTTACAACTAATACAAGGGCTGAAATACAAATTGTTTTGAAAATATTCTCGTTGTTTCTTGGTCATTTTTGTTTTATGGTATATGCTAAAACAACTATATTCAACCTCAGTGTCGGTGAATAGTGCAAGGTTATTCACCACAATGCTTCGCGGCTTCGCGTTGAACTGTTCATCTCCACTTTGGTGAATAATTGTGAACTACACTGTCTGCTTTTAGTAAGCTTTCTGGAAGAAACTTTTAATGTAATTATGGCGTTATTTCTACAACTACAAGAAAGCAACGCACCTTTGTTCGTCTTGCTGCGAAGTATGATTATTGACAAGTGGAAACATAGCTAAGACCATCTCAGGTGTGAGGACAGCAGGATTGGCAGGTGTGTCTGTGATTTCTTCATCATGTCTGGAAACGTATGAACAGTACTTTTCATCGACAGGTTAACCAAGACAATAATTTATCGGCCGCCTTAACTCGATAGAATTGTGAAAAAGCTATCGCCTTACAAGTTACAAAAATAATTCAAACATTCAATAAAAATTCGTCAGTTAATTGTCCATTGAAATTCGACAAATCGGTCCCATGAAGGCTCCTTTATACCGTGATAAGGAGTCAAGGACCGCAGCCTACTTCTTTATTTATTATATAGATCACATGTGTCAGGGCGCTATAGGTGGGGTGTGGGGTGTGGGGTGTGACATGCGCGCATTGTTACGGGGAACATCCAAGCTGTATATTAACAAAATAAAAGTTTGATGAGTATATTCTAACTGTGTTTTAAAGGGATATGGCAATAAGTCAGAATTAACTTTGTCTTATTTGAAAGAACTTTTAAAGTTATATATGACGACCCTTTACAACTTTTTCTTACCTTGTTTATTTTTCGAAATATTTTGACCAAAAACAGTGTGTAGTCCGCCATCTTGGTATTATAATTTACCTAATTAACTGAGTTTTTGATGACGTCACAAGCAGGGTAAACTTGTTAAAACTTCATGTGGGACTAAATTTCTTCGAAAAGTTTCTTAAAATATTGTGAGTTAATTAAGTACTAAAAAGACTTCGGAAAATCGAGTTTGATATTGATAATGACATGTGGTTTGCAAGATAGAAATTTCGCTTTTTACCCTACTTGTGACGTATGCATATCGAATGCATATCCAAGATGGCGGAATACACGCTGCTTTTGACCAAAATAAGTCGATTTATTTCGAAAACCAAGCAAGATACGGAATAATTGTACAGGAAGTTTATATATCATTTTAAATGTTCTTTCAAATAAGACAAACTTAATTTATATTGCCATATCCCTTTAACTTAAATAGAATACATGGAAGTGTTGAAAAAGTATTAAGAACAGCTAACCAATGTCTCTCAACCTTTGATCAGGGCTTTACTCGGTTTGTAAATATTACATAGAGATGTTACATGCACTCACGAGTCTGTATCGCTCATGACGTCATCATCTGGTAACTCATGTAAAAGAGCTGGTGTTTCTTGAGGGAGGAGGTCATCGATAAAAGGACTAGTCCTAAATACAAATAGTAATTCAGTGAAGATCAGCTACCACAACACGAGCTATAGTATAACGGTGCAAAGCAAGGGGACTCTAGACCAGGGGCCATGTAGTTAAATTTACAACATTTATTGAGTATTCTACTATATATATATATATATATATATATATATATATATATATATATATATATATATATATATATATATATATATATATATATATATATATATATATATATATATATATATATAAAAAGACATAAACAACAAATTTCAATCTTAAAATTTTATTTCATCGCTACACAGTGTTTCACGTACAGCGTACGATCATCAGGCGATTCCAATTTGTTGAAATTGAAATTGAG